GCGAAAGCAAGAAATTTGTCTAAGAGAGGTGCAAGAAGCACAAAGTCAAGACCAAACCTACCCTAACTCACGCCTCGTAAACGAGAAGTAAACATGCCACACCGCCAGATCTGGCTGACGCATATAGAATCAGTACGCATTTACTTTCCACTTTCTTCGCTCCACGGTGAACCATATGCAGCCCTGCAATGCGTGCAGCGCTGCGGTGTATTAGACGCTCGATGCCAAGGCAGTCCGCGTGCTATGTGAATGGAATGGTAATGAATCGGTCGCATGGAGCTCGGTGCGTCCGGCAATGCGAGCCTGGCGCAAAGGTAATAAAATCTGGTTCCCTAAAAAGATGCGTAACAACGCCAAGATAAACGAATTATCGTAATAGAACCAGTCTTGGGAAGGATAGTTGAAGCATTAATAGAAAGCAATGAAATCGTCCCAAGGGACAATCTTGCGTTCGGCATCCTTCCAAAAACACAAAGGGCAATAAAACCGAGCTAGCGACGGTTCCACCGCAGAGAGCAAAATCAATGGAAAAATGCACTTAGGCCTAGATAGGCAGCGATGCATGCGTACGCATCCAAGCTATAGGCTAGATCTGGGGAGCGGGCCAATGTAAACAGGAAGCCTGGTGCGGATTGATTTAAAGTAATTTACATGCACCAGCGAGGCGCGAGAACTTGGGTCATAAAAGTTAAAAATGAAAACGTTCCCCTACTAGGATGCGTGACCAAGGGAAATCTAGAATTAGGAAGAAAGTGCGTCTAGAACCCCTGTGCGGGAAGATAGACGCACATGCGTACGTGGGCACCGACGCCCAAAACTTAGGTCTAAGGGACGCTATAAAAGCGTTTTGATACAACCAAAATATATTCAGTTTTCACTATCCTATCCAAGTGTACGGACTTGTCGCCAGGTCCACCCTTACTCCTACATATCACCTCAATAACACTCTTCGCCTCCAGCCTATCAAACTCTCTCGCGGTAATCCGTTTCCAATAAGAGTTTCCTCGGAATCGACGCTACTGCCCCCATCTGAGCTGGGCAAGTACCGGCCGAGCACCTTTATTGGTCGGAACCCGTTTCAGAGTTTGGGCACTCCCCGACTAGGCTGATCAGGTTTACCGCTGGTGTATCTGTTGGAATCGCGCTACTGCCCCCATCTGAGCTGGGCAGCTACCGTCCAACCATATCCCAACCGTAGAGCACTCAGCCAAGTCCTAAGGAATCCTGTTCGAAAGTAGGCGAATCTCGCTTCAAGTGGTATCGGTTCCTGCTGTTGGAACGACGAGCTCGAAGCCAGTCGAAACCTACCAATTCGATTAGGATCCACCGTGAGGCATTCGAACCCCTTCCTCCGGTCTGGTCTGTGAATAACCGCACGCCGAAAGTTCGCCGCGTGATCCTTCGCGGATTGCGAGTTCCTCTCGAAAAATAATAATAAAGGACGAAGCCCCTTCGGCTTCGTCTGATGAACGTGACACGCGCGTCGCGAACACTGCACTTTTGGCGATTATGAGTGAACTAAACTCAAATTTGGGTCGTTCTCATTCGCCGCGAATGCATTCCCTAATAGAAATAACCATAAAAGAGTGCTTAACGACGTGTTCGGGGTATCATCCAAACCATTTGTGGGATAGTTTACCCATCCGGGATACAGTTCGTTTATAGTTTTTGTTTATTAGGGTTTCGATTGGAACAACTTTTGATAGACGTGCATACTTTTACTGTACACAGCAACAAAAAATGTAATATCGATCAATGTGATTCAAGTTGATGTATGAAATAATTATATACAGTAAAAAGCAGATACAATATTACATCAATGGAAGTAATTTTGTTCGCAAAATCGATGTACATCGTACAACCTTTTTTTTTTTTTTTTTATTCTTTATTTAAGAGATTTTTAGCCTTAGGCTAGTTCATCTCTAACATCGTACAACCAACGTAATGATAAACAACCGATGGATTGCCCTGGTTGCAGCAGTTTGTATGTAATATTCAACAACTTTTGTTTTTCTGTGTAGACAGGTTGGTTGCACCGGTCGACGAGTTGATCCCGATCGATCATCATTCCGAATTCTAGATAAACATTTCAAAAGCTCCTACTGCATTGATCAATTCTCTTCAATTCTCTTTCGTCAATAACTCAGCTGCAAAACCTTCCCCTGTTGTATTTGACGTTTTGCACGCTAGAAAAGAGCCTCCTTTATCAAACTATGTGCTAGAATTAGTACGAAATCTGTTTGCATGCCGCAGTTGCATTTGTCGAACCGTATCGTCACCTACACAGCAAAAAAAGTTGTTGAATATTACATCCAAACTGATGCAACCAGGTCAATCCATCGGTTGTGTAATATTACATTGTACGATGTACATCGATTTTTCGAACAAAATTACATCCATTGATGTAATATTGTATCTGTTTTTTGCTATTACATCATTATTTCATACATCAGCTTGAATTACGTTGATCGATATTACATTTTTTTTTGCTGTGTATCCAGCAGACTACGTTGAATCCGTTGACGAAATGTTTCCACTGTGCAGTTGAAATCGAAAAAAAAAACATAGAATTCATTGAAACGGGCAGACATGAACCGTATTGGATCATGTAATCCGTAATTAGCTGCACGGAGTCCGAGATGCAGGAAACTTCTCGATCGTAGAACTCGTTCAGGTGCATAGATTTCGAATTCAGCCAAAATCCCGGGAGAGTCGATTTCGCTTATCAGCACTTTTGCTGCAAAAACTGTCTGGTTAATCTTCCGCCTACGTTCAAGAGTTTCAATACCCAGTAGTTGGCAACGATCTTCATAGGGTGGAAGGTTCGTAGGATCGTACCAAGGAAGGTGGCGAAGAGCGTAACGAACGAATTTCCTCTGAACAGACTTGATCCACGCTTTCCAAACTGTTTCATACGGACACCATACTACTACACCAAATTCCAAGATCGATCGCACTAGAGAACAATATAGAGTTGTCAGGCAGGTAGGATCCCGAAACTTATCAGAGATCTTAAAGATGAATCCGAGTTGCCGGTTAGCTTTGGCTATGATATCCGTGTAATGTAGCTTAAATGTCAAAGCAGAATCAAGTGTAATTCCTAGATCACGAACGTTGTCCACACGCTGCAGAGGTTGGTTATATCGATCATATAATTGAATGCAATAGGTTTTAGCTTGCGATGGAAAGTGATGATATTGCATTTTTGAACACTCAACGTGAGAAAATTTCTAGAGCACCACCCTTAGAAACTATCGATCAGGTGCTGCAACCGCAGGCAGTCAGTGAAGCATCGCACAACCACGTACATCTTGACATCGTCTGCATAGAATGACCGGCAGCCAGTTGGAAGTATCAATCCGATTTCGTTAATGAATATGGAGAATAGTAGCGGTCCCAAATTGCTGCCTCGAGGAACGCTTGAGTTGTTTGAAAAATATTCCGATTGATCAGACCCGATTTTCACACAAAGCTCTCGATTGGTAAGATACGATTCAAACCAACGAGTGATGAGTGGCTGTCATATCGCTTAAGTTTGTTGCGTACCGAACATCTGCAAAGTTTTCAGTTGTACCATTTTGTTTTGATGTTGAGTACGTGTATTCAGCTATATGTCAAACCCCTGATCAAACCCTACTACAAGCCTCGGAAAAACGAAAATTCAGCTTTGATCGGGAAAAGGACGAAAACCAGCTGCCCGTAGAATCCGTCACCAGTAGGTACTTTCTACAAATGGAAAACAATACCAAGCTTGTCTTGCCAGTGTCTGGATTCTGTGTTCCTCGTATCGACCCTCACTTACCGGGATGTCTATCTGTATCTCTTTGTGAATTTCGTTGCATAATGCTTTATTAGTTGGAAAAGAAATGAAAATAAATACATTTTTTGATCTCTTTTGCTTACATTTAAAAACCTTAAATTAAATGTTATTTAGAATTTAAAGTGAAAAAAAGATGATATTACAGTAAAAATGCGTGTTTTTAATTTCAAAACTCTGTTTTTCCTATTCAAAATTATACTTATCGTTTCAACTATATCACATTTTCAAACCGAAACTTTGTTATGAATTGAAAAGACACCGATTTTAACTCCACCCCTGCCGTGCTTTTATTTGACCTTATTACAATTTATTTTGAAAGTTTTGACTTTTGAAATTAGTGAGCGCTCAACTTTTGCTTTAACAGTTGACTGACTTTTGTTTTGAAAGCCAACCGCTTTCTACCAAAAAGAACCAATGCAAACTTTTAATTCTACCAATTGTTTTATTAATTGTAGCAACGATTTTTCTTTGTGTGTAGCAGTGGTTATGATTGGCGTTGACGGCGACTCTGTAGCTCTTTACTCCTATGAGAAAATCCATAAGCAAACGTCAGACTGTGCGTGAAACATGGCGGACTTTGTACTATCCTTTCACTCCACCGAAAATTCCCATAAGAAACTATCTAAATTTGCTGGAAGAGCAAATTTTTCGACGGTGCCGTCAACGCCAATAACAGAAAGTCGTTTAAGGCTGTGAACCATTTGCCGAGTTAAATTTAACTCGTGGTTAAAAGTGACATTTCGAAAGTTATTTTCTATGTTCGAAAATCCCTGTGCTGTCGCTCAACCGGTTTTCGAGCCACGGTTGTCAAAATTTAACTTCTTGTCTGTCAGAAATAACCATGCTCGGATAGCAGGGTTAATCGATAACTTTCCATCTGTCAAATTTTAACCAAAAGTTAAAATAATCCACCAAATGGTTCAGAGCCTAAGAGAATCGATCAAAGGACCATTTGAAATGTTCATCGAGAATTTAGATCGCTTGTTACTAATTTTGACGGTAAATTAAATGTATCAAGCTGAACATTGCATTTTGTCCTAATTAGCATTGACAGATTCTCTTCGTCAACTTTCTCTTTCTTTTCCCACGGCCATGTAAATATATTGTCTGGTATTGTCGACCCACAGATCGATAAAAGAAGCTTTTATCTAGCTTCTAATATGACAAACACAACAAGAAACAGTTATGTGCTCAAGTTATTAACGAAAGAGAAAGTCGACGAAGAGAATCGATCAATGTTACTTAGAACCTAATGCAATGTTCAGCTTGATATATTTTATTTCCATAATCATTCTGTGTGATTCGTTTTTACTGTTTTTACAAGTTACACGATTTCAAGAAAAAAAAAATTTCCAATATGAGCTCCAAGCTATCGAAAGTGCTGCGCATTTCGCTTGGTAAGAAAACATTTTTTTTTTATACTTCATACAGCTAACATCTTGGCATCTTCTACAGAGGATTACATTGCAAAAAAGGGAATCGTTGCAAGCCCTCTGCCGAAACCGGCCGATTCTTCAGAACCGGCCTATTTCAAGCGTCCAATAGGGTCGGAAATGGAAATTGACGATGATGAGAATGATAACGAAACGAAAGACACCTCTGTCAAGGTTGAAAGAATCTATGACGTGGTTCAAGTTCCGACTAAAAAGAATTCTAACCCAGAGTGTCGCAATTTCAATTCGAATGAGAAGAAAAATGGTATTCACATGCGTTCATCACAGGAAAATCAGATTTCGAAGAAACTCACTGGTGCTTCGCCGTTGATGACGGTCAAGTCCGTCTTCGATCGGAACACTGAACAACTGATTGGCTCGCTAAATGAGAACGCAAATTTCAGAAATGTCGATGCCAGGAATCGCATCAATCAGCGCCTGATGAACAATCAGGGTCAGCGACAGAAGAACAATAATTATTACAGCCATCAGAATAAAAACAAATGGAACAAGTTAGTATCAAGCCTAAAATTGTCTCGATTGAGATTTTTTTTTTCCACTTAAATTTATGTTTGCGCTTTTTCAGTACTTACCGTAATCAGTATGGTAAAAATCCTAACATGATGGCTAGTTTCAACCCAAGTTTTCAGCGCTTCTCACAGCGCAGCAGCGTTCCAATGAACAAGAGACAAATCATAGATTTGCGACAGTGCATTGAGCCATCGTCGTCGCTGCAATCTCAAGGCACTACTGGACCTTTGATTTCTAATGGCCCCTGGAGACCTCCGACACAATTTGCTCAACCGCAGCTGGTTACCTTCGCAGATATGTTGACTCAAATCGGTCAAACCGCGGACAATCAAAACCGAGAAATGTTTGCAAACATCATTCGTAATGTGATGCACAATCAGCACCAGCAAGAACCATCAGCCGCCATGGTACCGATGATGACAGCGAAAAATGTTTCCCAGATGAACTCGACCGAGTTGATGCCGATTGCTGCGCAAACATTGCTCAATCATATTACGACGGTGCAACAAAACTTCGGTCCTAAGTATGACATGAAACTGCAGAAGGAGATCCACACATTACAGAACAAATCACTTCTCTATCGATCCAACGGAGTGGTCAGTATAGATGGACCAGGGATCGGTGGCGAACAGGTTAAGCCGGTAACCACGGATATTAGCATGAATATGCGCTTCAGCTAGGATGAATTTGGTAGCAGGTAGGTTCGATTTAAATATCGGTATTCATAAGTTCTTTTTTTATTTCATTTTATGCGTTGTGTTTTGAAGTCGCAGCTGCGTTTCCATATTTAATTTGAAGTTTTTGTATTTTTCTTTCATACATCTATTTTGTCAGGTCCTACAATTAAAACAAAGTGAATTGAATTAATTAATTTTTTTAGATGCATCATATACGCCTATTAAAAGATAAATTTGTCATTCTGTAGCAAAATAGTTTTGTTTGTTTGTTTGGTTTCAACCATCCTGTGTTTATTCGCCTCTAAAACAGTCAAATAGTATTTGAATAACCAAAATCGCACTGATTTGAACATGTCTGCTGAAAACCGTAAGTTAAATAACAAGCAAACTGAAAAAAAATGCGAAAAACGAGTCAACATCGCTGTTGCAGGACTGGTAACAGGTCATTTTTTAGTAACTTAGTAACCACTTAACACTTTCCCACCCAGAGTGTCTTGGAATACCGTCGAACGGGACTTCTTTTGAAACTTCTTTTTGGTGTAAGCGAGTCTTAACATGTCTGTATGAAATAAATATAGTATATAACAATAGGATGTGATGTACATCCAATACGGACACCTTTATGGTGTGTAATGAGAACCATATAAACGACCATGAAGGATTGGAGAAAATATTCGCCATATAGCCATCAAACCGCAGTCGAAAATATAGGCCGACAGGCTACTTTTGATACGTGAAAATTTTTCATATGTTTTGCTATTAAATGGACAAAATCAATCGGTATCATAAACATCCAACACCAAACAAACTTTACAAACTCATAATCACGTCAGTCAAATTACTGGTTTGACAGAAGTTTAAAAAGAATCATGAATTTTTGGTATGGAGGAGATTTAATATGGAAAAACATCAACTCTCTTATTTGCTTTACCTGCCCATCACATGATGTGATGTGATGAAAAGCCACCACCTGTGCAGGGCAATGGCGTACGGTTGCTGGCAAGATCACACTGGTAATCCTATATTTTTTACAATTCTGTTGTGTGAAAGACCAAAAACGGATAAAAATCTCCTTCAGACTCAGACACAGAGTATACATAGCATGCAATACACATTTGGATTTTCGTCTGGTGATTTGTTCTAAATAGGGTGAATCAGACAAACTCTAGACTGACGCAGGGTTACTTCCACTCACTTGCTATAAAAAAATGTTTTTCGGAATTATGAAATCATGAAATAGTATAGTGCTAATTAGTGCTTGTAAGTTACAAGAAGAGGTCATGAAGTATATGTTTGACACATAAAATCTGTCAATATTGCTTCCAGTGCGTCACAATCAGCGATTTTACGACTCGTGAGCGCTCACTCTGAGTGAACGCTCACGAATCCTAAGATCGCTGATTGTGACGCTCTGAAAGCGGAATTGACAGGTTTTATCAGTCAAACACATACGTTACACCCTCTTCTTGTTACTTACAAGTACAACATATCATTATAACATCTAATGATTGCATAATTCCGAAAAATATTTTTTTATAGCAAGTGAGTGGAAGCAACCCTGCCAGAGATGAGCCAAAAAGTTGAGCACATTTCTTCGGGACCTTCTGCGAGATAGCACTTAAGTCAAAATTGAAAATCGTGAAATCCGTTAAACCCACGAAATTCGCTTATTCATAACAATCATGTACGTGTATTAAGTGAACCCTACACGATTGCTTTTATTGACAATAATCGTATTGTCAATACATTCTATATTGACGTCAATACATCGAGATTGACAATATTTCTGAACTCACATCATCAATAGTATTGTCAATAATTCCCCTTCGCGTCAATATATTGATGCGTGTGGGGTTTGCTTTAAGCAAACCCCACACGCATCAATATATTGACGCGAAGGGGAATTATTGACTATAATATTGATGATGTGAATTCAGAAATATTGTCAATCTCGATATATTGACGTCAATATAGCATGTATTGACAATACGATTATTGTCAATAAAAGCAATCGTGTAGGGTTCACTTTAGAGAGCGTCAACTTTATATGGCGGATCGCAACCCCCGGTTCACCGAGGAGTCGAGTTTCGAACGCCTTTGGATACGGTTGTGTCAAAAGCAGGGCTCTACATTTTCGAAGCTCTAAAATGAACTCGAGTTTTGTTTCTCTCATACAAACGTGTTCAACGCTTCATTTCTATAACGCCTAGCTAGACTATCAGCAAAGACAACAAATCAAGAAGACTGGCAACTCTTCCATTTTCTCATACAAACCCTAATAAAAATAACCATAAAAGAGAGCTTAACGACGTGTTCGGGGTATCATCCAAACCATTTCAGGGATAGTTTACCCATCCGGGATACAGTTCGTTTATGGTATTTGATTATTAGGGAACGCTATGAGACAGGTACAATCGCGTCATCTGCCGCTCAAAGGTAAATGCTTCGAACGAATTTGATAGCAAAGATTACATCCTCAGAAGAAGGGTTTTTTGTTGTCTTCGCTATCAGCAAGAAATGATAATGAAAAAGAAGCATGCTTAGAAGGAATCTGGATCTTCTCGTCGTTGCTTTGCTCATCGCTTTCAATGTAAGTAACGTCGATTTTCTAGTTAAACAAAACCTCATTATGGCTTTCAATCCCCTTTCACGAACACTCTCACCGCTCTTTCAATTTGTTTAAAATGCGTTATGCCCCGTTTTCGTTAATTTCTTTTTAGATAAATATGTGGATGGAAGATAAATTAAACATATCAGTGCTAACATTTGAAAACGGCGCAAAAGCCATTTGTAAACAAATGGTTTGTGGGCCCTTTACTCGCTACCCGAAGAACGCCCACGCAAACCAACAGCATATCTTCAGGAAGGGGAAAATTTCCCCTACCCGATGTTGCTGTTGTGTCGCGTGGGTGTACTTCAAGTAGTGAGTAAAGGGCCCACAAACCATTTGTTTACAAATGGCTTTTGTGCCGTTTTCAAATGTTAGCACTGATATTACGTGTAATCTTCAAGTGTTTTCACGTGAGAAATGCTTTAAATCTCGTGTAACATTTGAATAGGGCCTATGATCAAAATGTAAACAAACCGATTTTTGATACCATTCTGTAGCACTGGTAATTAGCTACCAGTCGTATAGGAATGTTCCGCATTATCGATAAAAATCATTGAAAATAACTTGATTTTAAAAACGGCCGATCCACGAAATTTTTCCAATCATTCATGCTAAAACGGCCTAACATATATTTTTTTTTCGTTCGATGAGGTTCCATTCATAAGCCTAGCGACGTAGAAGGGCCGATGATTGAAAAATTTCAAATCAAAGCTAGGCCCTACTGCTTGAGGCAGGGCCGATGATTTATTTGACGTTAAGAAAAGGCTTAGCAAAGGGCCTACAATTTATGATGACAAGCACAACGGCTTAACAAAAAGGGCCTAACCATTTAAAGATTCACAAAAAGGCTTATTACTGTGATATTAAATTTTTATCGATTTTCATGTATTTTTGAAAACGTTTCGCATGTTTTGGATGTTGTGTACTGGGATATAGTTACTATTGTTATTGTGAACAATATAAATGCCTAAAATACTTCAATTTATTTATATAGGAATTAAATACTGGCGGAAAAATTTACAATTCATTTTCTGGATTGTTTACATTTTGGACATAGGCCCTTTTCAAATGTTACGCGAGAAATGTGTTATTTCATTTTCCGTCATATACGTCATAAAAACTAAAGAGCCTGAATTTAAAATTCAGGCTCTTTAATAAAAACCTCTGTTGATGTGTTTCATGAAAGAGAACACTATCAAAGTCGAGCGCTCTTTCGCTCATCCGTTTCATCGAAGCTTGAAAGGAAGACCATTGGACGGGAGAAAGAGAGAAAAGCGATTGAACATTTCTGGATCAACAATAGAAAAGGGCCCATCAGCATTTGTAAACAAACCGTTCCAAAGCCCTTTACTAACAAAGCGAAGGCCACCCACGCAAACCAACACCATCATCGGATAGGGGAAACTTCTACCTACACGATGATGGTGTTGGTTTGTGTGGGCGGCCTTCGATTTGTGAGGAATGGGCTTCGGAACGGTTTGCTTACAAATGCTGATGGGCCCTTTTCTATTGTTGATCCAGATTTGTTTGTGCACGCCGACTAAGGTTCTAGAATGCTGCGAAGCTGTTCAACTTTCAGAAAAAGAAAGCCAGCAGTCTCTTCGTCGCATCGATTTGGTCGATTGAAGCTGATATTGTGACGCCCTGGTCATAAGTTTCTTCTCTGTTTGGTGCGTACATTAGCTTTCATAGTGGTGGGTGGTGGTTTTCTCGCTTTCCGAGAAGTTTTAGAATCGAGAAAGAAAACATGATTCATCATGTTTGCAAGCAACGGAAGATTTGACGCTATCTGCGTTGTTTGATTTTTTCTCCTGGTCCAGAAATTTGTGACATCGCGAGTAATAATTTTAATTTTAGTTTATTTACGCGGTGATGATGTTGGTTCACTCGCAACTATTTTGAAAAAAAAAATAAGTGTTTTCGAACGAAAGTGTACCAAAAGTGCTTCTGAACGTGTTTCGTAGTTGGGTGTGGTGAAATTCGTGCATTCCCGGTTGATTTTGGAAATCCGTATCACATAATTGCCCACCGATTCCTTTTTTTGCCGTTTGACGACGACGGGTGTGCTTTCGCGAGACTGACGTTTATTTGATCCGTTTCTTTGCACGGGTGTGTTTTTTTTGTAACTAGCGTAAGTGTGCCTGCGATTTGCATTGAGTGTCGGAGATTGCGAGGGGGGCGACTCTATCTACGATGCAGGAAAAATTGTGTTTTGCTGTGGTTAGCTGCACGCACACCGAGTAGATAGAAAGATGATATCTGACGATTCTGAAGATTTCCTGCAAAAAGATGATGTGCGATGCAAGTAGATGCGAGAAATGATTGAAGATTTTTCGAAGATTGATTCGCTAGTGTGAGATTTGTTGAGCATCTAGAATTGAGATTTATGTGTCGCCCCCCTCGGGAGAT